TACAAACGCACAAATACATACATATGTGTACATACAAACAAACATACATACGCACAACTTGCATCTTGGCCCGTTAAACGTGAACGTGAACGTGTGATAAGGCCGCAAGCGATAAAAACGGTAAAGAACAAAAACAATACACGAGAGCCGGCGCCAGGACTAGCTCCCTCTCCCTCTCCCTCACACTCGCACTCAACTCGAATTCACATAACTGCCGTTAATTGATGCACCAAGCTGATGAAATCTTAAAAATAACTTTAATAAGCAAACTAACAGTAAAACAACAACAATAAGCAGCAGTACGTTGGGCAGCTTAAAAGCGACCTCAAAGCCACGCTGATGATGGGCTACATCATGGGTTGTGCTTGTTTCAAAGGTATGTAAATGTGTGTGCGTGTATATGAAACGCGCATCGTTAACCGTTGCGTCTCTCACGCCGCACTCTCTCTTTATCCCCTCCCCCCTTCGCGCTCTCTATCATTTGTCATCTCTCGTTTATGTTATGGCGTCGCGTTTCCTTCCGCTCATTAGGGCGCCTCAGCTTTGCAACAGTTCAGCAGCGGCTACGCTGCAGCGCTGCGACTGCGGCTGCTTCTTCATTTTGCCTTCTACGCATTTTCGCATTCTTCGCTTGCAAAACGTCATTAACGACGTCACAAAGCAGCGTGCATGCGCACGTGCTGACAAGCAGCGCTCGCACGCTCTCGCTCTCTCTGTTTATGGCAAACTATCGCACTGTTAGTTAACAGTTTTATGGCAGCGCAGCTTCGTGACGGCGGGCAGCGCCGCCTTTTTTATTGCCCTGTAAAATCTGTGTGTGCAAAATGCATGAGATTTGCCTTGCCTTTATTTCTTTTTATATGTATTTGTGTGTGTGTGTCTGCGTGTGTGTCTTCGTCATTTCTTGTCGCGTTTAAGGATTTTTGAGTGCATGTGTGTGTGTGTATTTGTGGGCAGCTTGTGTATTGCTCGACAGCCTTTTGAGTGCAAAGTGATTTTTTGTTGTCTTTTGCACTTTTCTAGCGATTTGTTATGTGAGCTTAATAAGCTGCCAAGATATGGCGGCCCTTAACAGCTATGCATAAGCTTTCCCACTCAAATTCCTGTTATTTATTGTAAATTTAAAAGGTTCTTGGCCTTAACACGGTTTTAGTGCATAAATAAACTAATTGCTATTAAAAGTTGTTGAGTTTTTTGAGGACATTTTTGATTAACTATTTCAAAATAACTTAAAGATGCTGGAAATTCTTTTTAATATATTTATCAGAGTTGTTTTTTTGTTGAGTTAGTTTCTTAAGTTTTTAGATTGAATAATATTTAAAAATTGTTATCTTAGGGTTTTTAAAAAGTTTCTACTTGGTATATATGTCTTTAAAAAAATATATATAAATATATAAAGAGCTACAAAGATTTCAAATATAATCTATGGTTTTCTCTTCTTCGAGAAACATTTTCTATTGGATTAAATATTATTTAAAAGTTTCTTTTATAGATCTTAGACTTACGTTGGTTTTTCTTCTACTATTTTGTTTTTGTATTATGGTTTAAAATATCTTTGATTTGTTATAAAATCTGTGTTTTATAAATTCCTAACCTTACTTTTTCTTATATATTTAATTTTCTTTTATTAAAGAATATTTGCGATTTAAGTTAAGTATGGGCTGCAAATGAGAATGTCGGGTGCATTTGCACGTTAACTTTTTACAGTCAGAATTTCTCGCTATGGTTCTCGCACTGTGCCACAAAATGTGGCACACTTGAAAGCCAGCCACACTGCAGCTGTGGCACGCATGACGCAGCCCTTAACCTTTCACATTTGCGTATTTGCCCGCTGTCTACCCCTCGCTGCCAGCCCGCTCTCGCTATCCATTCGCAGTTAGTTTGATTCAATTGCAATTTGCAGCATCCGCCTTGTGCCTATCGCAGCGGCAGCAGGAAGCTTTGACATGGAGAGTCTAGATGGGTGGCATGTAAGGGTGGGGGGGGGGGGGTGTTAAGTGCTGCAGAATGGCGGAGAGCAGTTGGAGTAGCTGACAAGCTCGCCTAAGTGCTGTGCCCATTAAAGTATGCAATCATTTTGCGGTTAACAGGATCGCAGTCCTCCTCTCTCTTCCTTCTCCTCAGTCTCTCTCTCTCTTTCCACCTCTTCCTTTGCCCTTGCATTAGCCCTTAACTAATGCCTTTACTCTAGAGCAGCCAACTCGCCTTAAGGCTTTCGCTTTGCCTTTGACAAGATAAACGATGCACATTTGCCTCAGGCGACTGCCTGTGTGTGTGTGTGTGTGTGTGTCTCTCTCTCTCTGTGTGTGTGTGTTCTAATTTTACAGCGCTGCCAACTCGACCCGATTGCGTCTTGTCTTCGCTTTAATCTTCCGCACGTTTTTTTTTCTCTCGCTGCGGTTTTCATTCATAAACAAATTATTGCCAATTTTTGCTGCCCACAATTAAATAGCGAATGCAAATGAAAATAAAAGCCACAGCCACCAAACAACGTCAGACAACATACGGTGTGCCCTTCCCCTTCCCTACTACCCCCCTCCCATTCCCTCTCTGTTGCCTCCTAAGCAGCAACCGCCTGTGGGAGCATCGCATAAATAAATAAATAAACAAGCGTTTAATTGAACCGGAAATTATTTTTGTGTGGGCGTCGATTGGTTTTCTATAAGTGTGTGTGTGTGTGTGTGGGGGAGTGTTCGTGTGTGTTTGTGTGTTCGTGTGTGTATTTCTTATTGGAATTTATGGTACACTTGTCGCATTGTTGTTGTTGCTGTTCGCTTTGCGTTTTGGCGCTTTAACTCTGCTGCACTCAGCTGCTGAAGGAGTGCGGTGTCCAGGACTGAGGGGTTAGGGTGAGGGGCAGGGGGTGGTGTGGTTATATAATGCGCTAGTTGGCAAACTATACTTTTGCTTTCACTCTTTGCTGAGGTATATTCGAAAACCTAACTTGTATGCAGTGAAAATAGAATGAACATCATCTTAATCTTTTAAGCTTTTTAAGCCCAAGATAAGTTTAAAAAGAAGTGCACAGAAAACTGACAATCAATAGCTATACTATTAATGTAATTGATGCCCATTAAGTTTATCGATAACTGACAACCGATAGCTGTGCTAAAAATTTTATCGATGCTTGTCGATTGGCCTCAAATTTGTCGAATTACATTCCTGTTTTTACTTTTCTTTCGTCATAAAAATCGAGGATTTCGCTTTTTCAATTTTGGCTATTTTTTTTTGGCTATTCCCAATGAATATCGCTTCAGTTTTATTGTTCAGATAGCTTATCGAACAGCTGCGTCAAGCGAAATGTGCTTTAACGATGCCATAAAAAAGCTGATATTAAAGAACTTATTTGATTTTCCATGCAAAGTAGACAAACAAATAATGTAGAGTTTTAAAAAATTATAGAGCATTTAAGGTGCGTCTTGGCAATTATGCAATTCTTTAGCTGCTCTCGCTTTTCTATTAATATGCAACGCCGTGTTAGCAAGTTTCTCTCTCTCTTACTGTGCGCTAAATTGCCGCTGAAGCTCGTTATATTGCATGTCTGCGAATCGCTGGAGATGTAGATGTAGCTGTAGCCGTATCTGTGTGTATAGCTGTAGCTGTGTGTGTATCTGTGTATGTGTGTATTTGCATATGTGCTTGTTTTGCCTGCTCTTGGCTGAGTTCTGTTTGAGTTTCTTCGGTTCGCATGTGCCGTTTGACTTGCCACACACAAACAAACTTTTCAACTTAATGTAGTCATTGCCTTAAACGGCCCGCCCACTTGTTGAATTAAATATAATTTAACCGAACACGCAATCTTACGAATTACTTGGGCAGACACACATTCCAGCTGACAATCACAATACAAAAGTTGTAAATGTCTGCATTAATATTCAAGCGCCATAAATTTCCACGTAAACTGATTGTTGTGCTTATAGAAGGCAATCGAATGTGGGATTAATAGCACAAATAATTGAGGAAGTGCTTCAATGACAAAACATTTTTTTCTACAAAATTAAACTTATTATATAAATGTCCTTACATAGATAAAATTATATTTTAAACTGCTTTCTAGATTTAACGGTTTATAGGTAACAATTTGTTAAGGATTTGTTTCCCATTTTTTATGCATCTAAAATTTATAAATGATGTGAAGTTAAATTCTATAAAATGAGAGATATGTATACTATTTAAGAAGCTACATATCAAATTAGTTGGCTCTGGCTTTTTAAAACCTAAGAGATTTGCTCAAAAATTAGGATTTTGATATCGATTTTTATCGCTTGCCTGGAAACGGGGGAAATTATCGATAAGAAACAAAATCGTGCAGCGCGTACTCTGGGAGGATCTCTATCTTCAAAGTCTTTAGCTCTTATAGGTTTTAAGATCGACATAAATGATGGTTGTGGCTTAACACCCAAATGCGGGCGGAGCAATTGCTTGATGTTGAGTTGTGTTATGCGGCCGGGTGCCGTGATCCATAGATCGGAGATGGTTTAAGATAGGCCTTCTTCCAAACCAAATAGTCGTGGAGGCAGGAGCTCGCGTTAAGCCCATTGACTTAAATGTTCCTTTTAGCCACTTTCAATGGGTTCAGTGTATAAAAAGGGCTAAAATTAATTATTGCAAAACTGTGGAAAGAATTGTGCCATATTTTCGATTATGTAGACCTTTTTTGCTTAGTTTTCGAGCCCAGATTTTAAATTATAAAATGTTAGTTTTTTCTATTGAAATTTGAAAGTTATTCAAGTTTTTGTCCTGTGCTCTGACACGGCGCAATAATTGTATTATTCTCACTTGTCGTGTCACGCGATAATTTACGTGTTTATCCTGGGGCTAATTATTTCTGCTTTTTATTGTGTTGTGGGCTGTCGTGTGTCTATGTTCTGTTCATCTGATAAACTTGACAGCCTTTTGATAACGTGCGACACTAGCTGCACGAATTTACCTGCCGCTCCACGATTTTAGTTCTATTTAGATATCGCACCTGGTCGCTTCTGTAGCGCGTAAATGAGAGGATGTCTCGCCTGGGCAGAGCTTTGCGTGTCACGCTTGTCGAGTACTTCAAGAAGACGAGCCTCAATGGCTTCGGTTTGCTCTACTTTATCAGAAGACGTCGCTATCAGCGCTTCTTCTGGTTTTTGTTTATTGCCGTGGGCATACTCTCGGCCAGTTTTGTGGTCTTTTCAACGTTGTTGCAGTTTCTGGCTCGGTCCACGGTTACCTCTTTATCCGACCAGAGCTCAGCTGCAGAGGATATGCCGTTTCCCGCGCTGACCATTTGCAGTGTAAATAAACTGAGTCGCCAGCGACTGAACGAGTTGGCCCAGCAGCTGGCCAGCTCGAGCGGCAATTCCACGGACTACTGGCTGCAGCGACTGCCACTGCTGGCTGGCTACTTCTTTCCTAGCGCTGTGGAGGCTTCGAGTGCCGCTGAACTGCAGGCTGCCTTGGATGATGCTCAGGGGGTGTGGCATGTGCGTAAGCAGCTGTTGCATCTATCACCCAGCTGCGAATCGCTGCTGCTTAGCTGCCACTTGGACGCAGTTGCTCTCAATTGCTCCCAGCTATTTCGTTTAATGCCCACCTTTGAGGGCTGCTGCTGTGTCCTGCAGCAGCCGGGCAAGATTACGGGCGCAACACTCACGCTACGACTCAATGACTCCCGCGCGGATGACTTTCACATGCCGAGAACTCGACTCAATGCGGGGTTTAGCCTGCATCTGCCTGGTTGGTTGGGTCGACTGAGCCTGCAGCCTGGCGAGTCGTCAGCCCTGCAGCTGAGCGCGATTCGTTTGCAAGCTGATCCGCGGCTACGCGGTTTTCCTTTGGCCGAACGCGGCTGCCACTTTGCCGAGGAGGCTGAGCATCTGGTGCAGTGTCTGCCACTCTGTCGCCTACGCAGCGCCATTGCTGCCTGCAACTGTGCTCCCTTTGCCTACGACTTATCCTCGACTGCGCTCGTTGAGCTCAACGTGAGCTACTGTAATTTGGCGCACACAGCTTGCCTGCAGGGCCTAGAGGGTAAGTGGGTGTGTAACGCGGATGTATAAATTCTCAATAGAAACTACATTTATAATCCCCGGATTTAGAGACGTGTTGTCAATTGTGCTCGGTTTTATAATCGCACTCCCATATTCAAAAGAGTCTAATAGGCTTTGTTTTTGATAATAGAACTCTAATATTATAATAGGCACATCTTTAGATGTTATTCTGCCCACTGGGAGTGTCATGGAAAGTTTATAAATCCACATGCTTCTGCCTCAAGCAGATATGCTGGGCTAGATCTATGTAAAGCATACATTCAATTTTGGATATTTAACAGAAATTACCAGATTTAGTTTTGCTTTTAACCTAAAAATTCGAATCGCAATTTTGCGTGTACCTTGTTATATTTAAAATATACCAAGCCGATAACATGTACTTTTAGTAAATTTTTTATATAGTTAAATATATTTACTAAAGCGAAGCAAATGTTAAACAGGTCTGTTGGAAAGTTTCAAAATTGGCAGGCCATTCGATAAATTAAATATGGAGGTTACAAATTATTATGTTCCTTGTAATATTTAACATGTACCAACCCAAGAAAACGTATTTATATACAAATCAGATTTATTTCGAATATATTTTATTAAATCGAAGTAAATGGTTATTAGAAAGTTAGAAGGACTTTCGATAAGTTAAATATCGGAGTTACAAATTTGAATGTACCTTGTATTTTTTAGAATGTACCAAGCCAAGGGCCTGTGCCAATATCTAAATCTATCTAAATGGTTAACAAAGGTCTTAGAAAGCTCATATTCGGCTGAACATTCAGTTTAGAGTCTTAGAGCTGAGGAAAAGTAGAACTAGTTACGAATTTCTATCTGTTGCTTTAATTTTTGGTGCAATTAACAAAGCGAGGGATATATTTGTTCGGCACTTTAAGAACTTAAGGATCTCAGTTCGCATTGATTTTGCTTCCCAACAGCGAGCTGGTCACCATGGAGTTGTGTGGAGTGCCTGCCCGCCTGCAATGATTGGCGCTATGAGCTGCGCAAGAGCTTGACCGGCTACATGTCGCCCCTGGAGAGTAAAGTGAGCATACGCTATGGTGGACAGCGTGTGCAGCTCTATCGACAGGATGGGTTCTACAATTGGTACGAGCTGTTGTGTGAGTTGATGATGAGCGGCAACTGGAATTTGCATCTTAATTGAATTCTTGAATTTATGATTGCGTTTCGCCTTCTGACAGCCAACGTTGGCGGCGTGCTCAGCGTTTGCATTGGCTGCTCGTTTATTAGCGGCTTTGAGTTTGTCTACTTTATGCTGTTTCGACTGTGGCACAACTGGCGGCAATTAGGACTGTGATGGAAATGGAGACGTGTCCATTTGCGAGCAGATATATGCATATAATAAATATCACGCATACGCCATGTGTGACAGCAAATGAAATTAGTTTTGATTTATTTTGGCCTGGGCAAAACGCCTCAGTCGTCAACAGCTCGAGGCGCACTCACAGCACGCACTCACACACAAGGATGTCTCCGTGTACATTTATCTTTCAGCCGGCCACGCCCACTTGTCAACAAATGAAATCAACAACTTGAAGCGTAATAAAAATAAAAGACCAAGTGCTATTGATGGCCTGTTGCAAAAAGAGATATGTCCATATGTATACAGTTTCTATATATATAATATATATTGCGTAATGTTGATCAGCTTGAAGGTTAAGTCGTCTAGTGCAAACACTTTAAAGCCGCTCTGAAGGTCACCTGATGACCAATATACATATGTACGTATGTATGTATGTATGTATATATGGGAATGTTCATATGTCATTTGAAGCATATGAATCGATAGCTCCTTTTGTTGTTCTCAGGTGGCTCATGACCTATGAATAGTTGATTTTTATGAGCCGTTACTGCAGTTTTTATTGCCCCGTTCCCGTTGGGGATTACAATTGCAATTAAAAAAGTTGTCGTGCAATTGCGCTTAGTACGCATATATTAATATTTCATTATGGTAATAAAATAGTCCAGAAAAAAGTTTAAACTATTTAAACACTATACATAAATTAACAAATTTAATTAGCAAAATAAATCAATAAAAGAAAGTAAATATTAGATGAAAAAAAGAGTTTTCAAAACAAAATTTGGTACATTAGAATGTGTTGAAATATTACGTATAAAATTTTACCTTTAACATTGGATGATAAAAATGGAAGAAAGAAACTTAGCTTGGTTTGGACTATATAACATTGTTATGGATGATAAAATCAAGGAAGAAAATAACTTACATAGGCTGTTACAGTTTTGAACATGATCTTCTTTTAGACTGGGTCTACCTCTCAAAACTATTTCTTTATAAAATGTATAATTACAACATAAATAAAATGTTGCTTTTACCAACATTTTTAACTATGAGAGAGAGAGAGAGAGGGAGAGAGATAGTGAGCTCTTCATAATTTTTCATATTTTCCTATAAACATTGCATCAACATATGATAAACTTAAATCTGACAATTTTAAGCACTTAATATCTATCATTCAACTGATTTGTCGCCAGATTTGTTTGGGAGTCAAATTGCCCTAATTAAAAAATTCTTGGGTTTATTAAAAGCTGCAACGCATTTCTTTCCACGCATCAAAATCGAATATCTTATCATATATCACCTGCGGAAGCAACAGCTTACTTTCACATTTTCTTTCAATTAAAATACCTGTGAATGAATTCCTTTAATGCAGCTTGACCCGCAGTTAATTTATTGATTTAGTTTCATATGTGACAGACAAACTTCTTAATAATTAAACAACTAATTTTGTTTTATTTCTTTTCTCATTGCAGGTGAGTTTTCTCATGAGTTTTGCACGTGCATAAAAATACGGTTTTCTCTGTGTGGGTAAGTTTAACGTTTCTGTTATTTGAATACCTAACAGCAGCTGTTAACGCGCTGTTAGTTTACAGCAGTGACAGCTTTTCACGGCTAAAAGAGAGCTTTTGCCACAGGGTGCACTGGGCGAATTAAAGCACTCGAAAGCTTTTGCCAAAGCTTTCGTTTGTGCACAACATTCAAGTTGTCTTTTAAATAATCAAGGGAAATGCTTTAAATCAATTTAATATCAAATCTGTGCGCATAATCAAGCACGGGCTATGTGTCATATATATATCATATATGTCATTTGGATCATTTATAATGTGCGCCACACATCATTGCAAATCATTGTGCAGAAGAATTGCAAGCTAAGCAGAGCTCAACTTTAATGGCAAACTGTGTGACACGCCCACCACCAACTCGGCACCATAAAACACTCAGCTTAGCTGGCAAAGATTTTTAACAATGCTAACGTCTCCATTAATTTTAAAAACCGCCAACTTATCAGGCCGCGTCATGGTCCTAAGTGATTTCTGCTCCTTGATTTAGCGCCAATTCTTAGGCGCATATGCGAGGGTTGTTCAAAGGAGTTTGGATATGTTTCTATATCTAGCTGTGATGTCTTCTCAAATCTTCCTTATCGCTGAACTCATGCGACCAATTTGTAGCCAGGACCTAAACTTTAAATCTTCCTCTTCGCAGTTCTTAATATGAGACCAACTGTTTGCATTCACTTTAAGCGCATATTTTTAAACTGAAACTGAAGCTTATGTTGATTTTTAAAATACTGAAATATTTGCTTAACATTTTTTTTTTTTTTTTTGTTGAAATTGTTTGAAAATTTGATTTTTTTTCCGCCTGTTCGAATTTAAACTCAAACGTTCCATTTAAATTTCATTCCATGCATTTCATTCCATTCCATTAAATTAAGCCAAATTCTATTCTATTGTCGTGAGAGCTTTATTTTAATTGATGAGCAGCCCTCGTACTTTGCCTGCTGTACATATATTTATATAGGTATATATATAAGTACATAAAGACGCATTCCCATTTGTGGCCAACAGGCAAGGACATGTGGCTGGCGTCTTTTTGTATGCATGTATATGCCCTTCACCTTGCCACACACGCGCAGACACACACACACGCATAGTTGGGCTAAGTCTGTGGCATGCCTTGAACAGAATTTTTGGCTAACTGTTCTTTAATCAAAGCCATTCCACTTTATAAACCAGCAACTAAAATTATAGCCATATTTAAAAGGCTGGCTGCCCTGGCTGCCTGGCTGCTTGTTAATTCGCAACAGCGATCCTGGCGCTGGCTCAAGGACAACAGCAAAACGTGCACAGGATGCGTTGCACATAGATACAGCTGCCTGCCCCTAACTTTCAATTTAGCCCCCCCCTTTCGCTCTGCCTCTTTGTCTGGCATCATTTGCATAATTCAAATATGGGCTTCAGTCGTCGTCAGTTCCTGTGTGGCGACATCGAGCCATATATGTAGATCCCACACGCCACATGCCACAATCCACAACCCACATGCCACATGCGATTTGCATAAATAAAATTGTAGTGTCCTTTATTTTTTTATCTTCCCTCTCTCTCTCTCGCTCTTGTTGTCGTTGCCTGTCAACCTAAATTACGGCCATTTGATTTCGGCAATTACAGCGCATTTTTGTGCAACAATTTTTTGTGTCCTTTGTCCACAGTCACATTCTTCTTGCCCCACCAGGCTGCATGTATCGTGCAGTTAGTTTGATTTATGGCTGCCTTGTCTGTTTTTTTCAGTGTACTCGAGAATTTCAATTTCAGTTTCAAGCTGCCATTTACGAGCTAATTATGTGCTTGGGCTTGACAATCTGACAATTGCCTGCACCAGCTGATGATTTATAAATATCGCAAAAAGTATCTGCGCGCCACACACTCTGTAGCTATAGGATGTATCTTTCGGATGTGCCAGTTGTCGCATTTGTTTATTGTTTTTGTCAGCCACTAGAGGCACAACTTTTCTATTCTCTTTTCTTTTTTTTGCCTGGCAGGTAGATTCCTTCGCCTGACTCAGCATTCAAAGTGCCACTCGTTTGAATTTCACCGCAGGATTCTCTTGCAGCATTTCGCCTGGCTTCGGCTTTGTGGCTTTCAGCCATTTGCATTGCACAACTATAAATGATAAACATTTGTTTGCGTTAGCTCTGCCAAAACCAAAACCAAGACCAAGACCAAAACCAACGTCAAAGCCAAAGCCAAATGTCCGAACATCGCAACGTACACGTGCCTCCGCAGCTGTGGCAAGCAGCAGCTCATAAAAATGAATTACTTACAGCGTCTCGCATTTTTAGTTGGCGGGGGTCGAGGGGTCGGGGGGTGTCCGGGTTAGGGGGGGCATGGTTTGGTTCGCTGGCTATGCAAAAGGAAGTGTGCCCAGACCAGATTTCAAGGTTGGCTAATTTGTTTATGGCGTGCTTTTTTGGCTAACTGTTCATGCAACGGAATACTTAATTTATAGACTGTTTTTCACGGTTAAGCACCAATTCCTTTTGGCCATAATAAAATGGCAACTGAATTAAACGATTTAGCACTTATATAAATTTGTGTTAATGCGCATTTCGGCTAATTCGCATTCAAGTTGAAACAGTTTTCAAATGCTTGCCATTTGTTTTACTTTTACTTTAAGTTTTGGTCTTTAATTTCCCTGCTCTTGCTTTCTGTTTTTAATTATTTTACGGACTTTAATAAAAATATAGCATCACAATAAGTGGCTAAATTTTTATGTCCTCCATTTTCTCATTATAACCTTGAATACTGCTTATATAAAGTTTCTACATTGTTATCTCTTATCATATAATTCACTTTCCTTTAACAATCAAAAGATCTCATGCTAGAATGTTTTTCAATTAACTTAGCATTTCTTCATATAAAGATACGTGTCTCTCTATGTGATTCTCACAAACGTAATGCTGATTCATATGTATGTACAATTTATGTATCTAGATTTTCGTACAAAATGAATATTTTTATTTTTCGCCGTAACACTTTATTTGTTTATATCAGAGCTATTTTTCGAAATCTTTATGTTCTCCATTTTAATATAATATCTTTGAATACTGTTCATATATAATTTTCTATAGCGTTTCCTTTTACCTTCACCTTCCTTTAACAATAAAGTTCTCATGCTAGAATGTTTTGAAATTTACGTAACATTTTTTCATGTAAAGAATCTTTTCTCTTGCCCCTCTATGTGATTCTCACAAATGTAATGTACTTGGTAATTGAAATGAATGTATCTAAATTATGTATGTGGATTTTCGTGCATAATCCACTTACTGCCAGCTTTGATGTGGCATTAACTCTAACTTGAAGCTTTAAGTCGTTTGTTTTCCCATTTTCATGGGCTTCCCTATTGTCCATTGTGTAGGACTCGGGACTTATGCAAATGCTGCTCAAGTTCTTGTAGTTAATCAAAGTCGACGACGTCCTGCTGTTCGCTTTTTCCCTCAACATAATTATCATCATCCGCAGCAGCAGCAGCAGCAGC